GCCCCCCCCCCCCCACCCACCACACACACCGGCCAGGAGGCCAGCCTTGTCAGCCAGGCGTAGTCCTCCCGGCATGGTATGGCTCTGATATGACTCTAGTGTGGCCCTCGACCTCGGCATTTCTCATGCTTATTTGATCCTTTCCCCTCTTCTCTGTCTTCCCAGAGATCACTATGGTGATGCTACCGATAGCGATGGCGACGACGATGATGGTGATGGCAATGACGATGATGATGATGATGATGATGATGATGATGATGATCTCCATCACTATCATTCACTCTATCTGCTACGTCTGGCCAATGGTTATGATTGTGACTCTGCAGGCGATGGAGGACTTGGGAGCGGAAGAGGGTGTCTGGGCGGCCGAGAGTCACCCAAGCCAATACAGGGTGGGGGAGGAGGGGAGGATGCGGGGAGGACCAGAACAAAGGCACGCACTCGTCCCCAGCACAGAGGCTGATAGGTAGTGGTGAGAGGGAGCTGTGCGAGGATGGCAAGTGAATGTGGGCTGGGAAGCGTGCCTCTATCGGTGGTTGGCCATGGTGTGTGGTGGGCGACGCGGCAGAGGTTGAGCAGCTCGACGGTGCACGGCGGCAAGTTGGAGTGCGATGGGCTTGATAGGGGATGGCAGGCTGGGAGGCGGCGGCAGGCGGCCAGCGTACGCGAGGCTGCTGCGAGTAGCGCTGGCGATGATGGTGGGGAAAAGGATCCGCTGACCTTTGGCGGTGTGCGGCTCAAGGCGGTGCTGGCGGGGATGTTCTCGGGCATGGCGGGAACGGCCATGGGTCAGCCGATGGACATGATCAAGGTCCGGCTGCAGACGCAGGCGCACATGTATACCGGAGCGATGGACGCATTGCGGACGATTGTGCGACAGGAGGGCTGGCTGGCGCTGTACAAGGGCATGCTTCCGCCGATGGTCTCGATGGTGGTGACGTGCTCCATCTCGTTTGGCACCTACGATGCCATCAAGCACTTTCTCCTCGCCAACTTTCCGCATCTCACCTCGCCGGAGCGACCCGAGTGGCCGGCAGCCAAGATGTACTTTCTCGCCGGTGGCCTGACCGCGCTCATGCTCACCCCGGTGACGACGCCGTCGGAGCTGGTCAAGATCCGCGCCCAGCTCGACAACGTCGGCAAGAACCGGTTCTCCAACTCGGTCCAGGTCCTGCAGCACGTTGTCCGCAAGCACGGCGCCTCGGCGCTATACACGGGATACTCGGTCAACGCACTGCGCGAGATCATGTTTGTCTCGATCTACTTTGGCGTCTACGAGGTGGCTAAGCGCAACCTGCAGATGCGGCTGGCGGGCTCGCTCGACGTCGATGACGCCGCCTCGCCGCTCCTCCTGCGGATCGCCATTCCCTTTGCCGGCGGCGCTGCCGGCGCCTTTGCTTGGACAGCTTCCTTCCCGCTCGACGTTCTCAAGTCGGACATCCAGTCATCGCGCCTCACTCCGCGCCCGAGCTTTGCCGCAATGACCTCGATGGTCCGCCGGCGCTGGGTCCGTCTCGGCTGGCGCGGCTTTTACCGCGGCGCCACAACCTCGATCATGCGTGCCTTTCTGGTCTCCTCCACCCGCTTCTCCGCCTACGAATTTGCTGTCTCGGTCCTCACCAAGGTATTTGCTCCGCATCTCCACCCTGACTTTGACGATGACAACATCCTCGTCGCCTCGGAGAGCGATGGCCATGACCATGACGTCGGCCGACGCATGGAAAAGACTCCGTGATCGGAAAGGCTATGTAACAAGTACCACAATGAACAATGAACCCACTCTAGTTTGATTCTCGAGAGCACCGCCGTCCCATCGTTCCTGCCTCGGAACCAATCGCTCGTCCGCCGCTCCTCTCCCGTCGTCCCATCGCCGCGCGTCATCGCAGCACCCCCCCCTCCCCCCTCTCACTCTGCCACAGGCATCCCCCAGCGCAACCACTCAACTCTACCCATCCCCATGCTCCGACTGGCACGGGGCTCTGCTGCACAGGCTGTATCCGCAGGCGCCTGCCTCCCGCTGGTGGCGGCAGCAACCACCACCGCTGCGAGCACTATGTCGGCGGCAGCGTCGTCGCCGCCGTCGTCGTCGTCTCACACGCCCGATGGGGACGAGGGTGACGTGGCGGCACCGGCACACCGGGTGGCCATGGTTGGGCTGGGCAATCCGGGGCGATCGTATGCGTACACGCGGCACAACGCGGGAGCGACAGTGCTGGCGGCGCTGGTGGCAAAGTACCTCGAGCCGGCGCATGGAGTCCGATCGGCGCCCGAGTGCTGGCGCGGAGGAGTCGAGGCCGAGGCCAGCGCAGGCGGAAAGGCCAATCTGCTCTCTGCCACGGTCCAGTGCTACGAAGCGATGTTTGAGGCGCCGATGAGCGGGTTGACTCGTGAGCCGTGGGATGCCATTGACGTGCTGTCGGTGCGAGCGGCGGCGGCGACACGCGAGCACGGAGTCAGCCACCCGACCGCCCATGCTGCGCTCATCTTTCCGCACACCTACATGAACCGGTCGGGCATTGCAGTGGCGCAGTTTGCCGACGCATATGGGCTCGAGCTTGGCCCGGAGGGCTCGGACCTGCTTCTGGTCTGCTATGACGACCTCAATCTCCCGCTCGGTGCTCTCAAGCTCGTCTCCAAGCGGACCCGCAAGGGCGAGAAGAAGATTCCGCACAATGGCCTCCGCTCGGTCTGCTCCAAGCTCCCAGACGGCTCGCTCGTCGCCCGTCTCCGCATCGGCATCGGACGGCCGACTGACGGCACGCCCGTCACCGACTTTGTCCTCTCCGAGTTTGACTCTTCAGAGCGCAAGGCGCTGCACGCTGTTGCCTCGTTTGCCACTCACGTCATCCGCGTCCTCCTTCACCGCGGCGTCGACCGCGCCGCCAACATCGCCAACAACTACACAGCCTCGGAGTTTGCCTCGGCCTACGCCCGTGCCATCTCGCAGCGCGCCGCCGAGTCGCTCCTCCCGCAGGCATGACTTTTTGTTCCGGCCAGCATCAGACTCTGCCTGATGAGACTCGACGACGCGCGGGTGGGTTGCCAACGCTCGAGGGCGTTGCATATGCAAGAGTTGCTCTTGGCCGACGGATCCGGAACGGATTTGGAGTTGGTGGACAGTGTCGCCTCGCGAGTCGGCAGCGGCAAAACGGCTCGCGACCACACGATAGCGAGCAAAGCACAGCAGTGGGTAGGCACGTGACCGCAATCGGACGGGAAGGGGAGGGGGGGGGGGCGGAAAAAGGGCCGTCACGATCAAACGACGACATTGCTTGGCCTCGTCACGCCCTTCCACTTCCACCCACACCCACACGTATGTAACACGGCCACAGCCACGGCACACTTCTCCCCAACATTACTCCCATGAAGGTCACACTCATGTACGTACTTTTGTGCACCGCTATGCTACCGCCCCGCCCTCCTTCCCCCTGTCCACCCTGCACTTACCTCCCTCGGCGACCGCAGCATGGTGATTGTCGTGGCAGCGGCTGTGGTGGTCAACGCGACGGGCAACTTTGGGCATGCCCGCAACTTTGCTCTGTTCAAGGAGACGTACAAGCGGCAGTACGCAAGCAGCAAGGCTGAGGCAGCAGCGTTTGAGGTGTTTAAGACGAACGCGGAGAAGGCTGCCAAGCTGGAAGCTGCCAACAAGGCAGCGGGCGGCGATGCCAAGTTTGGCATGTCGCCGTTCATGGATCTGACGGAGAATGAGTTCAAGGCGCGGTACCTGATGCCCAAGGGTGCGGTTGAGGGCGGCGCTGCGGAGCTGCCTGTCCTTCGTGCCAGCAACGTGGGCGCACTGCCCAAGGCGTACGACTGGCGCGACCACAAGCCTGCGGTGATCACGCCTGTGAAGAACCAGGGCCAGTGCGGGTCGTGCTGGGCATTCTCTGCCGTCTCCGAGGTCGAGTCGATGTGGGCCCTGGCTGGACACGAGCTGGTGGTGCTCTCCGAGCAGCAGGTTGTTGACTGCGACACTACGGACGACGGATGCAATGGTGGCGACACCATTTCGGCGTACCACTACATCGAGAAGGCCGGCGGGCTTGTGCCGGAGAAGGACTACCCGTACACGGCGCGCGACGGCAAGTGCAAGGACTCGGTGGTGAAGAAGGACGCAGTGGCAAAGATTATGGGCTACAACTACGCGACCTCGCCGAGCACCAAGAACGAGACGCAGCTGGCGGCCAACCTCATGTCGACCGGCCCGGTCTCGATCTGCGTCGACGCCTCGTCGTGGCAGACGTACACCTCGGGCATTCTCTCGCACTGCGGCAAGCAGCTGGACCACTGCGTTCAGATCACCGGGTGGGGCACGTCGGGCTCGGAGATGTACTGGTGGGTCCGCAACTCGTGGGCCACCTCGTGGGGCATGAGCGGGTACATCCAGCTCAAGTTTGGCCAGAACACTTGCGGACTCGCCGACGAGGCCACCATTGTCACCATCAACACGCCCGGCACCCACACGTCGGGCACGTCGTCGGGCAGCTCGTCGTCGGGCGGCTCGTCGTCGGGATCGACCGGCTACACCTCGTCGGGCTCGGGCTCGTCGTCGTCCGACGTTGGCTCGTACTCGGGCTACTCATCGTATGGCGCCGACCGCGTGGCCAAGCCGGACTACACCTCGTCGTCGTCGACCTCCAGCCTTTAACCCGTAACGGTACGGTCATTCGGACGCGTTGTCGCGCGTCTCAAAGTGAACAACTCGATGATACTTGACTTCCAGGTCACCGGCCGACGCTGCGCGACGCCTGCTTGGCCTGCGGCTTGAGGTGGGAGGCGCGCCCGCACGTGATGGCGCCGACATGTAGACGCCTGCCTGAAGGATGCCCGAGTTGCCGTCGCAGTGACGACCCCGACGACCGGGAAGGAGAGCATGCCAGAGTTGAACACAGCGGCCAGACGGGAGAGCGCGAGAACGTCTTGCGACTGACGAGCTTGCCGGACGGCGTGGCCGCGCACAAGTGGTGGCACGCCATTCTTGTACTGGATTCTGGACACCGCGCTCATCAACGCGTACGCGATCTACGCTGACGCGAGCCCACGCCCCGCCATGACTCGCGTGGCTTTTCTCTGCGACATCATCGACGCCCTCGCCGCCAGCGCCGACGCCGTCAGCTCCGCGCCGTCGCGCAAGCGGAAGCGCACCTCTGCAGCGGCTGCTCGTCAACACCATTTTCCCCAACAAGTTCGTGTTGTTCGTGTTCGTGCTGTGTTGTTCACTTTGAGGCGCGCGACAACGCGCCCGAACGACAGTACCGTTAACGGTTAGTTAGTCTACATGGCGTTCTCCTTGTCGGCCGCCCGGCGCCCGACGTCGAGCGTCCTCCGCGCCGACGGCGGCGGCGACGTCGAGCGCTCGCGCGGAATGACCGAGAGGTCCAGCGCCGACAGCGTCGCCCGCGCATCGACCTCGGTGACCTTGGTCGCGTTGCGCGACGAGAGGCCCGAGGCCGCTGACCGGGCGAACGAGAGCGGCAGCGGCTCGTCAGTGAGCGAGTTGATGGCCGAGAGCGGTGAGCGGTAGTGCGCCGGTGCGCGGACGGCCGCTGCCCGTGCCGATCGCGTCGCCGGCGGCGTAGCCGGCTCACTCGCCACCAGGTCCAGGAGCGGCGTGGGAAGGCCCGACGAGCGCGGTGGCGCGTCCCAGTCAAGCTCGTCGAGCTCGTCGAGCGAGTCTCCGAGCATGAGTGAGCTTGCGGAGCTCCCCGACGAGCTTGCCGACGAGCCAGATGAGTTGGCCTCGGCCTCGGCTTCGCTCCCAAGGCCAAAGATGGCGAGAAGCGAGTCGGCGGTAGAGATAGCGGCGCGGGCGTCGGCAGGCGCCGGCTTGCCGCCGGCCACCACGTGAGTCTCCAGCGAGAGCAGCGCAGTTCGGAGCGCATACAGCGCGGCTTCGATGGAGCCTGCGGGCTCGAGACTCGCGAGGTCGACCGGGACAGGCAGTCCGGCCTTGCTCAGGATCCGCTGCATGATGCGGACGACGTTGCGGAGCGCGGCGCGGGTGCCCGGGCCAGCGCCAGTGCTTTCCGCCGCCGGCCGCGGAAGCGGCGGCGGCAGTGGCGGCGCCGCGCTCCGCGACGCTGCCATGCGCTTGCGCAAGCCGCGCGCGTCGGCCCGCGCCGCGTTGGCCTCGGCCTGGGCGCTCGCTGCTTCGATCGCCGCTGCCTCGGCCCGCGCCTCGGCTGCGCCCGCTCGGGCACTCGCCGCCTCGGCTTGTGCAGACAGAAACCGAATCTCGGCCAGCGCCATATCAAGCCTGGCCGAGGCCCGGAGCTCCAGAAGCGCCGCTTGCTTGCGGCTGTTCCCTACTGCTGTTGCTGTTGTCGACTGCGGCGCAGCTGATGCCAGTGCGCGGGCTGCGTTGGGCAGCGAGGCCAGAAACGCTGCTGGCGTGTCAGTCTCGTAGCTGTTGCTCGATGCCGTTGAAGAGTGCCCAGACTGAGAGGATGAGGTTGCCGGGCGGCGTCGTGGGCGCGACGGCGAGTCAAAGGTGGCGGCAATGTCGTCGGCGACGCCGGAGAGCCACGAGAGCATGCTGGGCACTGCGCTTGATCTGTTGGTCAGGTCTCGCTCTGGTTGTGATACGCACACAGGCTCCACGGCTTGTGAGCGACCGGGGAGAAGGGAAGTATCCCGTTGTGCACGGTGAGTGGTGTTGGAACTTGTCGTCGCCTATCCGGACAAGCGGTCCCTGTAACTGTCGTCCAGATGCCTCGAGCCAGTTACCGCTCTACGCGCGCCTCTGTCGTACGACTGAAAAGTTTGAAAAATTTGGCAAGCGAACGCATCGACCGCACCCACCCATCGCAATCAACCATGTCAACGAATGGTGTGACTGCCCACGAACAAACGAGCAAACGAACAAACGAACGAACGAACGAACCAACGAACGAACGAAACGAACGAACGAATAAACGAACGAACGAACGAACGAATCGAGGTCGACATGGAGCAAGGCAGGCGGAGCGAGTGGCAATTGCCAAAGTTACTAGCACCCAACTCACCACCACTCAATATGGTAAGTGCCGCAGCGTCATAGTACATGCAATTTTCCCCGCACTCTCCCCCCAGGCAGAGGGCAAGCGAGGGGGAGGGCGAACAACGACCTTGCCTACCCCGCTACTTGCGGCACGGTTGGGTTTCAAGTGTGGCGGTGAGCCCGGCTGCAAGGTCGCGGTCGCCTAGCACGTCGTCGCCTCCTTTTTTTCGTTGTTGAGCCGCCACGCGGCGACCCAGTGACTCGCCCCCGCGCAAGCTTGCCTTCCCTCACGGGCCGGCTAGAGCTCGGGGTGAGCGCTGCGAGCCCCACCTCCACCAGCGAGCATGCTCCCCCCAAGTAGCTACTTGGAGCAAGAGGCAGCGGTGGTGGTTGCCATGGCAGGCGGCTTTGCCCCCGCAGCTGGTACCATGCTTCCGACGACGTTGTGCGATTCTCGAGAATTTGGTCGTTTGGGCGATTCTGGCGAAAACTCACCACCAAATTTCTTTGCTCGTTTGCCATATGTCAAACGGACGGGACGGGGCGGGGCGACGTAGGCTACCGGTATCTCTGTTGACGACGCCTGCGTCGAGGCCTTCCAGGAGCTCAAGATCGGGCACAAGCACCGCTTCGTGATCTTCAAGATCAACGACGACCACACCGCCGTCGAGCCGCTCGTTAACGGCGACAAGGACGCCACGTGGGACGACTTCTGCGCCCAGCTCCCGGCCGACTCGTGCCGCTACGCCATCTTTGACTTTGAGTTTGAGACCAACGACGGTGGCAAGCGCAACAAGATCACCTTTGTTGTGTGGACCCCTGACGTCTGCCGCGTGAAGGAGAAGATGCTCTACGCCGGCACCAAGGACGCCGTCAAGAAGAAGCTCGAGGGCATCCAGTGCGAGGTCCAGGCCACCGACAACTCGGAGATCGAGTACGACGTCGTCAAGGAGAAGGCTTCCCGCTTCGACAACTAATTTGCTTGTCGCAAGCCCTGCGTATTGCCGCACATCCGTCGGTCGGGACGTAAACTGTCTCCAGCCAACGAGCGAACTTGCCTCTTCTTCCCCCACCTCCCCCCCTTTCCAAACAGCTGCCGTTTACATACACTATGCGTTGCTCCACGATCCGCTTGACTCGGACGACGACGACGGCGGAATGTCAGCGGTCGACGCCCAGCGCGGCCGGCCGACAATGGCGCCGCCGCGCGCAAAGACCCGCCCGCCGTTGGCAATCGGCTCGACAGGGACTAGCGGCTCGAGGTGCGAGCCGACACGCGACGCCTCGCCGCGCGCCACTGGCGCCGACGGCGCTACCACCCGCGCGTACGCGTATGCGATACCGGCCAGCACCGCAATCGCCGCAACAATCACAAGCACAAGCAGCGGAATGCCGGCCTCGGGCTCAAGCCCGAGCACACGCTCGCTCCGCCCGCCAGAGACCTGCGCGTTGAGCCGGGTCATGAACGTGTAGCCGAGACCCTCGACGAGCGTCTCGTCGGTCGGATACACTACGTACGGCATCAACCGGCAGTCCTCACACACCATCTGCTCCGTCGCGTTGGCCACGTCCGGATACTCACCAAGTCCGACGTGGAAGGTCGGCTCGCTGGACGCCGCATCGGCGAACAGGCTCTCCAGCGACGGCATGACCACCAGCCGCGCCTGACCCAGCTGCACAAGCGCGTACGACTCGGCCGGCGAGCCAGCCACAACGCCCACCAGCACACCAGCCGCGTTGAGATCCTCGCTCGACACAAGGTCGAGGCTCGGCTCGCGCCCCGTCCGCAGGACACCAAAGTGCGGCACAGCATACGCGCAGCTGAACAGCATCCTCTCCGCCACCTCGGGCGCCGCCGCAATTTGCGCCGCCACAACGTCCACCGCCGAGTCGGGCGCCGAGACCGCGGTCACCATGTCGCCAAACAGCTCGGTCTCCACCAGGATCTGCACAAACGAGACCACAATGTCCACACCGTAGTGTGCCGACATCTTGGCCGCCATAGCCTCCAGTACGTCACGGTCGTAGCCGACCACAGCGCCATCGTCGGTCATGCAGAGGTACGGGCAGTTGTTGAGCGGGCTCCCCACTACCAGCGCTTTGGCCTCCAGCACCGCAGCCAGTGCCCCGCCCACCAACGGCTCGGCAGGATACCCCAGATCCACACTCGTCGAGTTGCCAATCACCACAACCTCGTCCTCCCGCTCACATCCGGTGGGCAATGAGGTGTTGCCTAGCTCGGGCAGCCACGTCGCCCGACCGCTGCTCACACCGTCCTCTGCCATCACCTCGCCAAGCGCAGCATTCACAGCCTCAATCAGCTCGTCATTGCCCTATCCCCCCCCTGACCATGAGTCCCCTCCTCCCTTCCCCGCATGAACTGCTGCTACCCTTCCCTCCTTCCTCGGACCACCTACCAGCTGTGCGTAGCCAGCATACACCGGCCCTGCGGCCAAGACAGCCAAAAGTACAAGGGCCACCACCAGCACACGGAGTGCCATGCGTATGTATATGTTTGGTGGTCCGGTGTGGGTGGTGGTGAGGTGGTGCAACCGACGCAGTGGCTGGCTGGCTGGGTCGGGGGGGAGGGGGGGGGGGAGGGGGGCGGCTTTGTGGCTGTGGTTGGTGTGCCCGTCTCAGGTGACTGCAGTGGTTGGAGCAACCGGTGGTGTAGTTGGACTGCTCAAAGTGACATGTCATGCCACTTGCCATGGATCGCTCATTCATCCATCCCTGCGCCACGCCTGCCCCGGCTCTCTTTTTCCCCGCAGTTGTCCCGCGTCCCCCCTCCCCCCCCCCTCCTCCCCTCCCCCCCCTCCTCTCACGATACTGCTCTCTCACACTCACTCTCTTACCCCCGTTGCCGACCAAGAGTTTGTGAAGAAGAAACCGTATGCCAGGTATGCCAGGTACTGCTAACCTCGCTCTACCCCTCCTCCTCCTCCTGCTGGTCGTGTGTCTGGCTACGCACGTGGACGGACGTCAGGCTGATGGTGACAACCGATTTGGTGGATCTGCCCCTGGCCTCTCATGCTCGCTGCCTTCTACTGAACGTATCGACTGCGCTCCGTTTGTGGAGAACGTTGATGGTGACAGCTGCGCTGCTCGTGGCTGCTGCTGGTCACCATCGACCTCGGCCAGGCAACAAGGACTGAGCGACATGACGCCGTGGTGCTACTATCCGGCCAATGCTGGCTATGCTGTGGCCAATGTGAGCCACGGCGCCGACGGCTCGCTCGTCGCCGATCTTGTCCGTGGCCCGGTCCCCTCACCGTGGGGCAGTGACATCAAGAACCTGCGCCTTGAGGTTGTGCCCATGTCCGACGCCATTGTGCGGGTCCGCATCTCGGATCCGGCAGAGGCCCGCTGGGAGGTACCCGACGTGGTCCACGCCCTCCCGCCATCACCGCCGGCGCCTGCAGTCTACGGCATCGAGCTGGGCTCCAGCGGCGCCCCGATGTCGCTGCGGATCTTCCGCACCGCCACCAACGTCACTCTCCTCGACACCTCGCTGCCGGGAATGGTCTTTACCGACACTTTTCTCTCGCTGGCAAGCCGGATGCCAGCCGGGTACCGGCTCTACGGCCTTGGCGAGCACGTTGACGCGCTCCTGCTGGACACCAACTTTGTGACGTACACCGAGTTTGCCCGCGATCGCGGCACACCGGTCGGGACGGAGAACCTTTACGGCGCACACCCGATGTACGTCTCGTTGGAAACGACCGGGACCGGCCACGCCCACGGTATGTTCCTCCTCTCGTCCAACGGCATTGACGTCAAGCTCTCGCCAAACTCGCTCGAGTGGCGGACGATCGGCGGCGTCCTCGACCTGTACCTCATGGTCGGACAGAGTCCCGATCACGTCGTCTCGCTCTACACCGACCTTGTCGGCAAGCCGTACATGCCGCCGATGTGGGCGCTTGGCTTCCACCTCTGCCGATGGGGCTATGACTCGCTCAACAGGACCCGCGAGGTCAACATGGCCATGCGCGCCGCTGGCCTCCCGCAGGACGTCCAGTGGAACGACATCGACTACATGGACCGCTGGCTCGACTTTACCACCGACCCGGTCGCCTATCCGGCTGCGGACATGGCCGCCTTTATCGACGAGCTCCATGCTGTCGGCCAGCGCTATGTTCCCATCATCGACCCGGGCATCTCGTACACCCAGCCGGCCGGCAGCTACCCGCCGTATGACGACGGTGTCGCCGACGATGTTTTTATCAAGGCAAGCCCACAGGCAGACCACACCTACGCCCAGGGCAAGGTCTGGCCAGGCAAGACCGTCTTCCCCGACTTTTCCGCGCCGCAGACCACGGCGTACTGGACCAACATGCTCGCCACCTTCCACGATCTTGTCCCCTATGACGGCGTATGGATCGACATGAACGAGCCGGCCAACATCCCCGAGCAGCCTGCAGCAGGCTGCCCCGGCGAGCCGACTTCGCCATATGCGCTCGGCGGGCAGAGCTCACTCACAACCAAGACCATATGCCTCGGCTCGCGCACCGCGCTTGGCCCCATGTGGAACACCCACTCGCTATATGGTCTCTCCGAGATGGTCGCCTCCCGCACCGCGCTTGACAAGATCATCGGCAAGCGCTCGCTCATCCTCTCGCGCTCGACATTTGCCTCATCCGGCGCCATCGGCGCCCACTGGCTCGGCGACAACAAGTCGACCTGGTCGGATTTGCTCTACTCAATCTCGGGCATCCTCCAGATGAACATGTTTGGCATCCCACTTGTCGGCGCAGACGTGTGCGGCTTTATCGGAACAACCACGCCCGAGCTCTGCACTCGCTGGATGCAGCTCGGCGCGTTCTACCCCTTTTACCGCAACCACAACATCGAGAAGACCCCGTCGCAGGCACCGTACGTCTTTGGCGAGCCTTACACCAGCTACATCAGGGACGCCATGGTCACTCGCTACACCCTCATGCCCTACCTCTACACTGCTTTTTACACCTCGGCCGTCACCGGTATCGGTGTTGCCCGTCCGCTTGCCTTTGCCTTCCCCACTCTTGCCACCGCGCCGGGCCCGGCCGGCGCTGCTCTCGCTGCCGTCGATCTGCAGTACGTTCTCGGCGATGCCCTCGTTATCACCCCGGTCGTCACCGAGGGCGCCCAGTCGGTGACCGGAACCTTTCCGTCAAGCGCCCGCTTCTTTGCCCTCGACTCCGGCAAGGAGCTGATGGCCTCGGGCCAGGTCACCCTCTCAGCCCCGCTCTCGCACATCCCGGTCCACGTCATTGGTGGCAACGTGGTGCCGATGCAGGCACCGGCGAACAACACCGCCACCCAGACCGGTAACCCGTACGCACTCCTCGTCGCCCTCTCTGACGCAGGTACCGCCTCGGGCTCGCTCTTTGTCGACGATGGCGAGACCATCGGAACCATCGACTCATCTGCTTTCTTCCTGGCTCGGCTCACCGCCTCCTGGGACGAATCCTCAAGCTCGGGCCATCTTGCCTTCTCCCGTATCGTTACCGGCTACGCGCCTGCCGCCTCGTACATCGTCGACGGCCTGCGATTCTACGGCGTTCCCTCCTGCGCCGGCACCGTCTCGGTCTCAGTCAACGGATCGACGATGCCGAGCGGAAGCTACGATCCATCGGCCCACGTCCTTACGCTTCCGCTATCTGGCGTTGCCTTTGGTGAGGGCCAGGGCCAGTGGGTGGCTTCGATCCAGTGCTCGTCGTAGTGCCCTGGACCGCGTCCAGGCCCCCTTGGTCTCGGCCACGACTCCTCAGACCTGTGATAAAGACTCTTGATCTCAAGCTGGCTGAACTCCGTCTCGATTGTGTCCGAGCGCAGCAAGCCAGTCCATCACACCGCCATTGCTGCACTTGGGGCGTGTGTCATGCATGTCCTGCACGGCATGTTTTGGCCAACCGAACAGCGGCAGCCAAACTGACCACAAACTCTGCGCTTCCGCTGTGCCGCACTCCACTCTGTTTCGCCAACAGGCGGTCGAGACCTGGGAGGCAGTCTTCACACCACAGTCATGGTGAGAGCAAAGAAGCTTGGCATGATACTAGATGAGACAGCGGCATCGAGAGAGGCAAGGATGAGGGCTGGTAAGGCACCGTCGCGGTCCATATCGGCCTCGTCGACGTTGTCGGACGAGTTTGACGGCTCCACCACCACCCGCAACAACCTTGAGAACTGGGGCCTCCGCAAGCCATCGCGGGCAAGTCTGGCGCGGACAAAGTCAGTAACGTACGACGATGTGATCAAGGCGTCATCGGTTGCTGAGGGCAAGGCCAAGGGCAAGGCCAAGGCCAGGGGCAAGAGTAATGGCAAAGCCGAGGCCGAGACAATAGCGCCGCCACCAGCTTCGTTGTATGGCCATGGGAGTCCCACGGGCCACAGCCATCGTCGCCATGGTCATCGTCATCATGGCCAGCATCAACATCGCCGCCATCGCCATCACCATCGCCATCACCATCGCCACCATCACGGCCTCAACAGCTCCCAGGCCGGTCACAACATGATGGCGTCGTTGAGTCTCCACTCTGCAGGCGGTTCTTTTGAATCGGGCTCAAGCTCGAGCTCGAGCTCAAGCTCTGAAAGCTCATCAGCTTCTTCTGGACCGCCCGCGATCACTGACGCTGTCTCATCGTCGTCGTCTTCGTCATCGCCATCGTCTTCGTCTTCGTCTTCGTCTTCGTCTTCGTCTCCATCTTCGTCATCGTCGTAACCCAGGATCGCACCTGCCGTGATCGATAGAGCTGAGCACACTTCTGCTCAGCCTCCCTACCGTAGCCTGTCGTATACATTCTCCTCTACCACCCACTGCTGCGTGATGCCGGGCTGGTGCGACGTCTCGACAACGATCGTCAGCACCAAGCCAGACGATGCGAACCTCTCTTCCCCCAACCCAAGCACCACCTCCGCCCCAACAACATCGATCCAGTATCCAATCTCCCCCTTGTCCACCCTTCCACCCCAGTCCGTCATCATCGGTGCCGTTCACCCATGCCGTGTCGCGCAGGTCGACCACGACTCGACGACCGTCTCAGCCAAAGCGCTCCCCACCCACAGCTCGCAGAGACAGGCAAGGACACCCCACTTGTCGACTCGCGAACATGTTGCGTTCAGGAGGCTGGGTGAGACGCTGGCGAGCTGCAGGGTTTGTGAGAAGGGTCCAGCATGCGTCCGGGGATGGAGCCGCTGTGTCCGAGTCGGTAACGCGAGCGACGCGGTCTGTGCTGGGGCGAGTGGTGGCGGCGCTGCGGCGAAGGGGCGAGCGTGGCGATGGGGCGGCCGGTGAAGCAGCAGAAGAGGCCGAGAGCGTGCGGAAGCATCTTGATGATGTGTTTCGGATGGTGGTGGTCGGCGAGTTCAATGCCGGCAAGTCGTCGTTCATCAACGCCCTGGTGGGCAAGAAGGTGGTGGCCGAGGGCGTAACACCCACCACCCATCAGATCAACATCCTTGAGTACGGCAAACCGCCGTCGGGTCCGATCACTGTCGAGATGGATACAACGCTGACAAAACTGGACGTTGAATGGCTCCGAGGCGTGTCCATCGTCGACACGCCGGGCACTAATGCTGTGGTGGAGAAGCACGACTCGATCGCACGGCACTTTGTCCCCCGCGCTGACACGGTCCTTTTCCTCACCACCTTTGACAAGAGCATCTCGCACTCGGAGCGAGAGTTCCTTACAGACATTGCTCAGTGGGGCAAGAAGATTGTGGCAGTGGTGAACAAGATCGACATTGTCGACGCCGGCGAGCCGGGCGAGGTCGACGCCGTTCTCGCCTTTGTTGAGTCGTCGCTCCGTGACGTGCTGCCAGACAAGAACGCGGCGCCGCTGCCGATGTTTGCGGTCTCGGCCCGCCGTGCCCTGGTCCAGCCGGGCTCGGACCCTGGCTTCAATAGCCTGCACGCCTACATCCATGAGTTGCTGGAGAGCGACGAGCGACGTGTCATCAAGCTCGAGGCGCCGCTTGCGGTGGCGGCGCGGGTGACGGCGGCAGCAGCCGCAACAGCCGAAGCCGAAGTGACGGCGGCGGCTGCCAGACTCGACGTGGTGACGGCGGTAGCCGGCGAGGTCGACGAGCATGTGGCCGACTGCGACATCCGGGTCGAGGCTGTGGTGGCGCGGGTCGGCAAGTCGCTGTACGCGGTCCGCGACCAAATCCGTGACGTCATCTCGGCCAACTTTACCTATGGCTCGCTGTTCAAGGCGCTCGTAGCGCCGCACACGGTGGCGGCGACGTTTGAGGCCCAATTTGTGGCCTCGGTCGACGGCGAGGTGTACCAGGATGCCAAGCGCGGGCTCGGCAGCCTCCGTGCGGCGCACGCCGAGTTTCTTAGTGGGTACGCCGAAAAGCTGCAGCGGCTTGCGCCAGATGTGGCGCCCAGGCGAGTGCCGAACATTTCGTCGGCGTCAGCCGAGGCCGAGGTTGCGCGGTCTGTGGCCCAGGCAGCTACGGCGCCGCTTCAAGTTGCGCTGCGGGGTGCGACACTGGCGTCGCGGCTCCGGGCCTCGTTCTCGACGTTGCTGGTAGTCGAGGGCTCGCTGGCAGGGGCGGGGACACTGGCTTCGATCGCCTCGGACATGGTCCTCATTCCATGGGTCGGGACGGCGGCGCTCATGACTGCGGCACTTGGCCTTGTGCCGCTGCAGCGCGCGGCGACGATCAAGTCGCTGCACGACGCACTTGCGTTTGGCGTCAAAGCCGCCGAGGCGCGGATGCGTGCGGCGGTGGAGGCCGACGTCGACGATGTACGTGCCGCAGCTGCAAGCGTGGCGAGCCCAGTCGTCGAAGCTGCGCAGAGTGCAGCTCGCAACGCGGCGCGCGATCTGGCCGAGCTGGACGAGATCGGCGCGTCTGTTGACGCTGTGGATGCCGAGCTCGACACGCTGCGGTGCCTGAGCGAGGCGGAGAAGCGCAGCACGGCGCGGCCGTACGCCAAGCGGCGGCAGAGGCGACAGAGGTGAAGTACGCGCTATGGCGAGTCGGAGATGGAGCGCGACCGCGAGCGGGTGAACACCGTTCCACCGGTAGTTGTCGACGGCAGCGGGTGCTTGAACTGGACAATGATGAGCGACATGTTGTCGCGGCCGAGCGAAGTTGCCGAGTTTCGCGAGGCAAGGCAGCGGTCGAGAAGTGAAGAGGCAATGACTGGGAGGGCGAGGCCCTTTGCCAGGCCGCGCTTGACGTGCTTGATGACCTGTGCGTTGTTGAGCTTCTCAAAAATACCGTCACAAGCGACGACCAGAAAGTCGAGGGCAGGCACAAAGGGAATGGCTGTAAACTCGGGGTCGGCAATGACAGGTTGGTCCTTGCGCGGCAAGCCGGGCTTGTCCTTGATGGTGATGTCACCGATGGCGCGCGACATGGCGAGGCCGCCGACGCGGTAGTCGCCCGAGTCGGACTCGACCGAGCCGCCGGCCCGCTGGATCCGCGCCATCTCGCCGGGGAGATTGACCAGGTGGTCGCGGGTAAGCGCAACGAGCTTGCCGCGGCGACACGCAAGGGCGCGCGAGTCGCCGACATTACCGACAAGGAGCATGTCCGAAGTAACAAGGGCAATGACGGCGGTTGAGCCCGGTGATCGCGAGCGAATGTGCGCAAAGGACCGGCTGATGAGATCCTCATCAAGCGAGATGACTGCGCGCGAGATGGCAGACTTGAGGCTTGTCTTTGAGCGGCCATGCGCGGCGGCACGGATGCGATCCGGAAGCTCGTCGGCGCAGAGCTGTGAGACTTGGTCGCCGCCGTGGCCGTCGTACACGGCAAACATCTTGACAGGGTCGTGCGGGGTGTTGAAGAGGTCGACCTCGACGGTGTGGGCATCCTCCTGGTGACTCCGCCAACCCTGCATCCATGCAGTGACCCATTCAAGTTCGCGAGTCGATCCGCTCTCCAGGTGCTTCTTGGTCACCGGCCTGCGCAGGTAGGTACCCTCAGACGACACGCTCGAGGAGCAGGTCGATCCAGTCGTCGCCGACCGCGACTCGCCCGACTCGGGCGACGAGCCGCCTGTTGACGACACACCTGAGTCCCATCGCGGCGCCAGTGCCACGCCAGGCATCGAGTGTGACGACGCGGACAAAGTATCCGGCGAGCTGGAGCCCGACGATGTAGCCGAGGATGCCGAAGCCGAGGCTGAGGATGACGACGACGAAGACGATGAAGACGACGACGATGACGATGCAGGCCGCGCCATGCCATGAGGATACAGACCAGCGGAGGAGTAAGCTGATGAAGAAGCCGAGTCTGAGTCTGAGGGCGATACCAATGCCGGGAACGACGAGCACGACGAGGTTGATGACGAGGCAGACGAAGCAGACATGGCGGACGAGTCGGACGAGTCGGACGAGGCGGACGAGGCGGACGAGGGGTTGAGGACGACGAGGCAGACGACTGGCCCGAGTCAAAGCCCGAGCCAGGTGCTGGTGAGCGCGGCTGGTGGTGGGTGGCGCGGGGCATGAGTGGATGGGTGGGCGGGAGAGGTGGTGGTGACAGTGGTGACAGTGGCGGAGGCAGTGGCGGTGGGTGGCAGCGTTGCGGGTGAGTAGGTGGATTTGCGGCGGGAGTGGGGCGCGGCGGTGGCAACACTGATGCGGCCGATGGACCCGGAGTGGCCAGCGATAGGCAGGCGGCAAATAGAGAGGGAGCTGTTGAGGGGCAGGTTCAATAAGGATTGGCCGAGCTGCGGGAGCGATGGCTAGCACGGGCCTTGCGGGAGGACGAGGCTGCAGCTGGCGATGCGGCGGGCGATGCGGCGGGAGAGACGGAGGGTGATGAAGAGGCGGCGGCGGAGGAAGAAGGCGGGACGGAGAGCGCGGATGAGGCTGCCGAGCCGCCAAACTTGCGTGATTTGTGCGGAGGGGTGCCGGCGGTGTGTAGCCGTCGAGGGGCGTGGCACCCCAGGCGACGACCGACCCGTCCTCAGCGGCCGTGTAGGCGTTGCCAATGGTGCTGTTCCAGTGGACTGCGCGGATGTGACCGGCGTGGCCGCCGCTGAGAGTAAAGACAGGCTCGATAGCGTCTAGAGTGACGTGGGCGGCGACGACGTTGCCCACGGGGTCGGCGCCAAAGGCGACGAGCTGCTCTGACGCGCGATCGTATGAGGCCGAGACCAGGGTGGCGACGCCGAGGTCCTCACGCATCGACGATGTGGTGAGGATCGACTCAACGTCTTCAAGCGACCAAAGAACCATGTTGTACGTGCCTGTGATGGTCCAGAGGAACTCTGATGACGGACCAAAGAACCCGATGCTGTGCGACGACTCACCCTGGCTGAGGACGCCGACGAGCGAGTCGTCCTCGTCCCACGAGCCATCGGCGGCGTCAAAGAGGCAGATGAGGCCGTCGTCACCAGCGGTGATGAGCTGGGTCGATGAGCCCGGGAGGAAGCGGGCGTGGAAGACCGGCTGCTCGTCCGAGTGCGAGTCGGCGATGCAGGTCAGCGGGCAGCCGAGTCGCCAGCGCGGATATCCCACAAGTAGACCCGCGAGTCTGCAGCGGCAGCGGCAAGAAGGCACCCCGAGACATCGATGTCAACACCGAGCGCAGCCTGGGTCTTGTACGCAGCATCGTAGCCCTTGGGCGCCGAAAAGGATGGAAGCGCAACCTCGAGAGCAGGTCGACCAGCGAGAGCGGCGGCGCGCAGATCCCACAGTTCGACACCGCCATTGACAGCGATGGCGAGCATGTTCGAGTCAGCAGGAGCAAAAGCAGCATGATGCGGAGTCGACGATGTGTCCAACGTCAGAACAGTGGCCAGTGAGCTCGGATCGACCATGACCATCTGCGGAGAGGACATGCTCACGGCAAGGAGCGACGAGTCGCTGGTGGCTGTCACCTCTGTGCAGTACACAGAAGATGCATGGTCGAGGGCAAGTGTCGGTGACAGCGTCGTGTGTCCGAGATTAGGAAGGCTGCTGGTGGTGGACATGGTGGTGGGTGGCGTGGTGTGGCGTGGTGTGGTGTGGTGTGGTGGGTGGGTAGGTGGGTGGTGGGAGAGAGAGATGGATGGTGTCAGCGAGGAAGGAGGGGAGGGTGACGAAGGGATCTGGACTGATGTGGGCTGATGTGGGCTAATGTGGGCTGATCTGAGGTGGTTTGGCCCGATTTGATGCTCGAGTCTGATGGCATCAAGGCAGATGGGATGCGAGAGGGAGAGAGAGAGGGAGGGAGAGAGAAGGAGATGGATGGTGTCAGTGTGGAGGAGGAGGGGGAAATGGGGAGGGG